ATCACAAGCGCTGGGATGGCTACATAAATGAATTAGCTTATGCTTTAAGAACGGCAAATCATGATACTACGGGAAAAACTCCAGCAGAATTATTTTTAGGCCGAAAGTTAATTACGCCTTTAGATAAATTATTCTTTGTGCAACAAAGAGAGCAGGAATTTAAAACAAAAGATGTGCAAAAGCTGATTGATCAGGCGCTTAAAAGCTCGGATCGGATACGGCAAGAAATAGGCAGAAAGTATATTATGATAGAAAAACGCCGTGAAGCAGATTTTAAAGTTGGGGATAAAGTATTGAAGCGGAAATTTTCTTTATCAAGTGCCCCAGACAATTTTACGGCAAAGCTAGCTCCAAAGTTTGAAGGCCCCTATGTAATTCAGGAAATCAAAGGGAGTAGTATTATATCTTAAGAACGAGAGAGGGGAAATCTGTAAAGCAAGTCCCGACCAGGTGAAAAAATACTATAATCCAAATGATTTTGAAATCCTTAAAAGTTTCTTGCAGGACTCAAGTCTAAACGAAGTAGAAGGTCCAGAGACTAACAACAACTATTCCACCACCCAAGAAACAGAGAACTGAAGAGAGACCTAGCACTTCTACAACCCGGACGTCGGTATCAAAAAGAAAAAATAATTTCAAACTCCAGCGTTTAAGAAAAACAAAAATACAGATGCAACCGGGTAAAGAAACCGTGGTAAAGAGAAAACACCACCTACAAAGGATGCAGGAGAAATTACACATCAAGGAGAGAACGCGCACACGGCCACAGAGTCAGGTGCCAGCAAGGCCGCCGTTCCGGAAAACTGAAACGCAACAGGAGGAACAAAAATACAGGAACGAAGAAGAAATTCAAGAAGGACTCCAGACCGGAGGACGTCAAGACCAGCCGTCCCAGGGAAAAACGGAAAAAAGCCAACAACCAGACGATTACTCCGCCAAGAGGCCAGCATGTAGAGGACGCAAAAGAAAAACTCATGTGGACGACACTCGGAGGTCAGTAAAGGAGAAGATTGACATCCATGAAACCTCTAACTTGGGATCAATTTTGCCAAAAAGGATGACGGAGTTTCAAGCATCGAAAACTCAAAGATAAGTTAAAACCTTCTATAAATTTTTTTTTTCTTTTGTTCCGAAATGTTATGCATAAGTACGAAGTTCTATGTTTTGACGAAAAGTCAATATGTCTCGGTTGAGACTTAGTTTTGTTTTACTTTATTTAGCTAAGGCAAAAGTATTATTTTCTTTAAGTGTAAAAGCTCTAAGAACAAGCATTTTCTGTTGGTCGAAAGACTAATTCTGTTATGTTAAAGCCAAAATTTGGCCGAAGATAAAAATAACTTCGTATTCTTGTATTAATAAGAATTTTAGTTTCAGTGCCGCCAGCTTGGCGAAGAATGAGTAAAGTAAAAATTTATTTTCTCTTATTCATTTTATGGTAAATTGTAAAAATCATATGTATTAAAATTTTGTAAATGTACGTAAATACTTGAATGTTATGTAAAAGTAGAATTTAGTCTAGAAGCATAAAATTGTAGATGCTAAAAGTAAATGCTCAAAAGCAATGAAGTCAAAATTTTAAGTATTAAACTGTAGATAAAGTCATGCTTTAGAGCGAAAGCCTGCATGTTTAAAGATGAATGAGGGGGAAGTTAGAATGAATGTGTTTTGTAGGGTTCTCCACCTACACTTGAATTTTTAAGAATATTAAAGTAGCTCATTGAGTTGTAGAATGTCGAGTAAGGTGTGTCTATTTGGTCGTTGAATTCTAACAAATCATGGTGGTTAGGGGAAGTGTGTTGTAAGACTAAAACACGAATATTCCCGTTTGACACCACACATGGTGGAGAGCCAGGGTAAAGTTAAATTAATGCTTGAAAAATTGAATGAATGTGAAGTAAGCAATAACTAAGAAAAACGAATCGTTAAAAAAAAAAATTTATTGTGTCAAGAAAGTGTAAATTATAATGTATTTAGAAAGATACTGATACTTATTCCTTCCAGATGCTGGAAGGAAAAGACCAAGATTGATTGATGAAGTCCAGGAAAAGTTGCTGTAAGAAGAGAAAGTTATAAGTATACACAGAATTTTAGTATACAATTTGTTACATAAGATTTTTTTTGTGTAAACGAGGTTCTCGACAGTTAGTTCAGAATTATAGAAACTTACAACAGGTCGTTTGTAGGACCTGCTTCCAAGTTTTCCAAATTCTGGCAGCGGCAAATGTAGGGTTTATATTTATTTTAACTAGTTTAAGTTTAAACTACCTTTCCTGTCAAGCCTTACTTTTCCCCTGGAACTGCCAATGCCAGAGTATGTAAATTTTAGTAGAACGCGCGAGGATTCAAATTATCAGCGGAAGTATTCTGATTTAAATAGAAAGGAAACGAGTTCGAGGTGTTTTACTTTATTTAGCTTCACGAGCTTACTTACTTACTTCACGAGCGCGGAGGTAGTTGGCCAGAAATTGAAGAACCCCGCGTTTCGGCCTGTGTGCTTGCCTGGAAGTAGTGTTAATCGTTCAAGTAATCTTCAAGTTTGCTGAATTAGCAGCGGTATTGTAAAACGCGGTGAGTTAGTTACTTTTAGAGAGCCTCGTAGTTAGAGTCTTGTCTTTAGTTTCTTTTCAGGTTATTATTTTTATTTGACCGCCGAGTTGGCGCAGTTTGTGAGCGTCAAGAGCACGCACTTGTAATTTATTACGTTGAATAAAAAGGGACTTAAACCCTTCACAAGACTCTGTCTTTTATCCAGTTTTCACAGTCACCTCTTGGTTGCGTGCAAGTTGGAGGCGCGCAACGCTACAGCTTATAAAGTTGAATATTAAGGCTAATTTCAGAAGTCGCTTTCTTTCTCTCACTGTTATACACTCTTCCTCTCTCTGAATGAAATTCGGAAACGTCAGGTTAAGTAAATAATGCTATCTAATAAGAGTAAAAACTGCTATTAAATTTTTCTAGGTTTATTTCCATCTATTCTCTACTTTTTAAACAAGAAGGTACATATAAAAAATACCTTTAAATGTGAGGGTATGTGGCTTTATCTTATAATATTACCTGGGTTCTGCTGGATCATTAACAAATGTGTCCATAAATGCTGAAAACAAGTGGAATGGAAACTCGGAGGATTTTAGTATATTAATTTCTTTTAAATAACTCATTAAAATTATAAAATTCTATAACTAAATCAATTTATATTTATTTTTTATGATCTTATTATTTTTTATCAAAAATATAATGCATTAATCGTAAAGCATACTTGGCAGCTATTTTTTAATATTGACTGCTTTTGATTCTTAGCAAATTCCTGTAACATACCTGCGAATCCTTCGCTTCTAATAAGTACTTGGTTTCGCACTGAAAACTGCTGCTTTAATGTAATAAAACCAGATTAATATATGAAATCTGTAAAGAAAGTAAGAAGACTGATTACGCAGTGACTTACACGGCAGGTGAGAGTGGTTGCCCTTGCAGCAGACTAAAAATAAATCATGTGATAAATCATGTGAATAAAGATAAATCATGTGTGCGCTTCCCCACAGGACCCAGTGCTCGAGCTATTACGAAATGCGAGACGACAGGCTCTAATACTGCAGAAGCAATAACTCGTTCAGTTACGTCTCCATTGACTTTTAACTTTTTGCACTGTTTCTGTCACCAAAACCTCTCGATTTCAGACAGTCTGATGGACGAATGATTCTGTTGCTCTTCTAAAATTGTTTCAACTATAACGAATCAGAGGACGTCAAATACAACCAGAAAATTAAGAGGGTAGGACTAATTCAGTCTGCAAACTGTTTTAGGCAAGGCAAGAACTCAGAATACTCTATGCTCTTAAACTCTCGACTAGAGAGACTGTGGCCGCTGCCAAGATCCTCACATAATGAGGACAATAAGCACAATAATTTTTTCGATGGTTATCTATTTTTAACAGAATATTCTCGAAGTTCTATATTAAATGTATTTTAGTTCTATATGCAGTAAGTAATATACAGCCTTAAAAAACTCAAACAACACCAGTTAACGAATGGAGTCGCGCTATCAGTGCAGGGTACCGTTATCACCCCGCCCTTCACATAGCATCAAGACCAACCTCTCATATTCTTCAGTTCAAACGGCACCTTCACAAAGTTCAGATCTACTACGTTACTTCATTTTTCACGAGTCACAAAAATAAGTTATCTATGTTTTAAATAACGATACGTCAGTAAATTTTGTTTTAAAATTGGGCGCAAAGCGATCGTAACATTTTAAAACATTCAGCAAGAGTATGGAAACCATGCTTTGTCGACAGCACAGATTTTCGCGAGGCCAGGGAATTAATTAAAAGTGATCCTTGTTCTGGAAGATATTTAATAAAAAGAATTGATGAAAATATGGATAAGATCAGGAATCATGGGAGATCATATCCTCGATTGACTGTGATATTCATTGCCAGTTGCAAAAATGGGTGGTTCACGTTAAACCAGAACTCAAAAGACTTGGATGCTTTATCATAACAATGCGCTGAGCTGTACGGTGCATTTAATAACGGCGGTTTTGCTTCCAAAACTGTTATGAAGAGTGGAATCAGCGCCTCAAGTGATATATAACTTCACAGAGGTTTGCTTTGAAGAAGACTGAGTAGCCTATTACAGCTTAAATGTAAATAAAATTGCTCTTGGAAAAAGCATCATTATTTAATTTACTTATCTCGTGTATGTAGTAAATGGAAAGCTGTATGTGTTGTAGAATACTTTTAATATTCTTAAATACTTACACAATTACCGCATTGAGTGCGCATATTATGACTAACTATTTTTCAGTTTTAATTTTAAAAATATCTTATAGCGTTTAATATGCTAAATTGTTAATTATTAAAAAATGTGAAATATAGCCCTACCTTAAAATACAAATTTTAAAAACTGCCGTTTCCTGCCGTCAGCATTTTATTCTCATTTTCATTTTTCTTTATACATTTATTTTCTACTTATTATTCTATACATTTCAACTTATAAATTTACCTTCTTGTAACTTTCCTGGAACGCACAAATCGTTTATGACGTGTCTTGACTCCGATACAACTGAGTTGAAAATTCTTCTTTGTACTACTGAAAAGCAGCGATAGCTGTGATCATCAATGCAGCGAACACCATGCTGTAGTTTTCTGAAAAATTTAGAATATTAGTTAGTGCAGAAGGTGGGAAAAATACACATTAATTTTAAAGTTGTAAACACTCTTCAGTCTTTTTCTAAATCTCATATCAACAAGATAGCTGCTTGGAATGATTTTCAGATCGCACAGAAATTATTTTTTCAGTACATATTAACTGTTTTAAAAGTGTAATATTGCATTATGCAAGTTTAACAATTAAAAATATTTATTTTAACTTGAAATTCAGAGACAAATATTAAGATCTAGCTACGTATTTATTTGTAATAATTTAATCAAAACACAAGCAAAGCAAATAAATTTAAGTAACTGTCATAGAAATAGGAAATTTTCTGTCTCATGGCATAAACAAACATAAACAAGCGACAAAATTAAAGGTGCAAAATATTAAGTATTACGTGCTAGAGCTTTAAATGACAAAATGTTTTACTTTGAAATATACAAAAAAAGAATTAAATTCATCCTGCCTCATGTTTTCGTACATAACTAATAGTAGTTTTTCAAATCAAAGCTTATGTTCTAATAATGTTTTACAGTAAATCTACAAATCTGGAAATTAATATAAGATGCGTTGTAGATAAATCTTAAAAAGGTATATGAAATGAACCTTTTATCAGTATAGGTATTCGAGGTTATGTAAATATATACCATGACCCCGAATATCCTTATTCGGCCTTTAGTTTCGCAATCGTTGATTGCAGATATATGCTACGAGTTACAAAAATGCTAAATGTGAAGCAAGTGTGCATTTTTGCATTTCTAAATTTTTATAAAAATTTGTAAATATTACCAAATCTAATTTTTATATGGCTTCCCTGGCTTATAAATTATACACTGGCTTTCCAAATTAAGCAAACAAGGCAAATTAACAATTTTCGAAAGAGAAGTTGAATTTGAGTGGCTGAAAATTGCTGCGGATGCTGATGGCAATATGCAAATATCGTATGTTACAGCCAATCACGATTGCTCAAAGGCAGTCATTAAGGATGTCAGCATTCTGAGGATCTTTAAATGCCGATACGAAGCATTTATAACTTTCGCAAGACAAATTTTGAAAATATTCGTGTATCTGCGGCTGAAGGAAGACGAATGGCAGATTCTGAATGGTGTCGGGATGTCATAAGTTTGGGAACACGGCAGTCAATAAAAAATGTCATTCTTTTCTTTGGTGTTATCATTCAGAAATTTCTCGAATGTGGACACAATTTCAAATAACTCCAATAGTTATCTGGAGATCTGTGCCCGGTCGACAAAGGGTTACCATCCTTTTTGAAGGAAAATGTATTTCTAGAGCTGACAAGCGGAATCCAAGAGTGATCTCCAGAACTGTTACATCCATGGTTGCAGGATCATTTTGGTAAGACAGTATTTGCCATAATTTTGCTCCATAGTATAAAGGGACTGTATTCCAGAGTACCAAGCGTTTGCCTTCCACCAGCCGCCCAGTCCGAAGGAGCAAGATTAAAGTGCTGATGTCAGCATCTGAATTGGATTGTCTCAGATTGGCGCAACATCCTTTTCACGGAAGAGTCCATATTTCCCTGAATCAAATGTAAAGATCTTGCGAGAATGAGGCATATGTAATCAGGTCCAGAACATCATTCATTTAGGAGAGACAGTATCACTGTGTGGGCTGGAATTTCGATGGGGTATCTCACATAGCTGTACATCTGTAAATACGGTTCTGTTCTTTAAAGACAGTATCGAATGATATCCTACTTCTAAATGTGATATTCTACGCTACAGCAATTGACCTTGAGTTCCTCCTTGTGGATGATAATGCCGGTTCAAATCGAGACAACAATGATTACGAGTACCTGGAGAGCGAGTTTATTTTTTTTATGGAGCAGTCACCGTATTCTCCGATGTTCCCATTGAAAATCTCTGGTATGCTCTCGGGCGTGCTGTAGTTGATCACCTTCATTGAAAGCACAGGGAATCGCTGGAAAGTTTGTGTGAGGGTTAGGTTTGGTCACAATCCTTATTAATGAAATTGTTTGTTTGATTTTAACTTTAAACATGAATTTGTTAATGACCTAAATGTGACATTATCATATAATTTAGGAAAATTAAATATTGTTCTCATCTTTGTACATTGTTTAAAATCCTGCAATTCAAAATTTTTATAGTGAGAAGAAAATTACAGAGAATTCAATATTAATAAAAAAATACGTGACTTTATTCTAAAGGTTTTATACAAGAACAAGCTTTACAACTAAACTTTGAAACTGACTGATTGAAAAACTGGAAAGAAACATGTTACAAAAAAAAATGAAACTGATAGCGAGGACACAAAGAACATTAATGAAATTATGCCTTATATACAGGGATGCATCTGATTTAAAAAGGAAAACTAATTTATTTCCCTGCGTTTGGAAATATAAGCTAGGGCAGAGAGAAGTGAGTTATTCAATAATGAACTGAAAACTTGAAATCTCGAAAAAAGGTCAGAATTAATCTGTTATGGGTAAAAGACGATATATTAAAGCTGAAAATCTTATATTACAGAGCGGGATAAGCAAAGTAAATCATTCATTGATTTTACTGCATCTAAATGAATACTGTTCAGTTTCTCATTGCTGCCTTTATTTTTAATTATAATTAAAATTTTATGTTTTAACATGCAAATCTTTCTTCATAAAAATGTCAATGAATATGATTCATTATCTTTAGATATGTTTTAATACGATCTTCTCTGCTACTCTTGTAAGGATCTTAAGTTTTACCTAAGGTTTATTTTATTTTAAACTTTAGTATCTTTTCTTATTTTTCTCTTCCGGCCAGAATTAAATGCGTTAACTTGTTTATGTAAATTGTACTTGCTAACGCCCAAGTATTTAACTTGTGGCTTTTTGCCAAAATTTAGATAGAGAGGCAAAGTGAGTCGCCTTGCCACTGTATTCCGCATGAGTTTTCAATCAGTTGCTGTCTGCCTTTAAGGCCAGAGGTTTAGTCCTCTTGATATTTAATACGTATTGTAGTTTCGGCGGTGTGCGTACTATATACGTAAAAATTTAAAAGGCCAGTCTTAGTGTTAAACAGTTGTGTAAAGTACTCGAAGTTAACTCTTATTGTTAGTTAGTTAGTAGTTTTTATATTTTTGCGTTCAGACCACAAGTGGTTGGTCTTTGTATCCCGAAGTGCGGGAGCATCTGTAATATCGTGGACAATAAAGGGTAAATGTAACCCTTCCTGCTTGTGTCGTCCATTCCACACATATTTGACACATAGCTTGAGTAAGCTCCCTGTTCCTATTCAGAACACGCAATATTCCCAAAACAAATTAAACGGCATACAAGTGCTAACACTCTTACTACTTAATCTCTATAATCTTCTCTACTTAAGAAATAGTAAACCATGTTTGCGAGGGGACAAGAATACATATTTAAGGTAGGGGGTATTGAACAGACTGTACAGCATACAACGTAATTGACGGTCTGAAGTATAGAAAGCCTAACACGACTTATGCTCCAAATATGAGTTCATCATTCTAATAAAAACTGTCTTTTCATACAAGACAGGGCACAATGCCGCAAAACGAATGTGTATTCCTAACATTTTAATCAAAGCTGAAGTAAAAGGTACTTCCTTAACAAGAAATAATTCTAATATAAATTCTGTCCAAAACTTGTGGTTCATTATAAAAAATAACATTAAAACAAACAGAATAGCCAACAGAATGGAACTCTTATTCGAATATGACACCATAACTTGGATGTCAAACAAAAGTTTCAATTCCTTAATTGAATATATTCTAAAGATTTAAATTTGACAGAAAATCATAATGTTCCACACTAAAAGTTACCTAACCATTAAAATTTTGAAAATTTCATATTTACTAGGCTGAATATTATATAAATATTTCTTTTGAGTTTAATAATTTGTCCTATTCCACAGGATTCTTTTATCTATAGAACTGCATATCTTATGTAGTTACCTTTATAGATTTGCTTCCTTTTAAATGTTATTCTGTTGCAAAACACTGCTATTAAGTACTACAAATCATTATTTCCACTAATTGTTAGAAGCACTACTCATGAAATAAACTAGAATGAATTCTTCCTTTTCAGACCCAAAATATATTTGAAGAAAGTAACAGAGAAGCTGAAACAGTAATCCCCTCGTTTCGTTTTTATTCCTATTTTATTCTGAAGGACTATGTTGCAGATAATGTATGAACGACACTTGTTGTAACAAATGTCGGGAATCTGCGAAATAAAACAAGATGTCAGGTGAAGGTAATTATCCAAACGTTTCAGGTGAAGATATTATTAAACGGCAGACTGAAATCGCATGGAAACGGAATTATTTCAAGATAAAATTTATGTTATTTTACTTCCGAATTTAATATACATTTATAATATATATTTAACATATATTTTACTTCCAAATGAAAAGCGTGAGTATGTAAAATTCCTTGAATAAAATTGATTGCAATAAATAACAGTAAAACATGATGGAAGATGTTTCATATCGTCTATTATTATTTTGCAAAATGTATAATTGTTTTAATCGGGCTTTCTATAAATATTCATTAAAATATAGCTTTATCATCAATGGACATTTCCTTTAATTTAACACATACTTATGTTATTTACATATTCAACTTGCCATTTCTGTTTCATTAGGCTTACGTTTTGTTCACTGCACTACCGTCTTCATGTATTATAGTCTTTCAAGATTCATTAAATTTCTGTCATTCCTTCAATCCATTAGTGATAACGCAAAAATAAGTAACAAGAAATATATTATTTAGAATGTTTCATGTTAAACAATATTTTTTCAGAAATTTAACAAGCATGCCTAGTGAAAATTTTAATAAGGAAAAACAATCGGTACCCCTTTTGTTCCAGTATTGCTTGCATCATATTTAATACTGTGTACTTAAGATGCTGCTAGTCGTAAATATAAAAGGGAAAATAATGTAACAGAAAGATGACAACCTCATTTTTCCACATGACTAAAATAAGGCAACTGCTTTTTTTTATCTTGTTATCCTTTTGGAATTATCATCAGAATGCCGGAAATGCCGTTAATCCGGAACACGTCAAGTCAGACACTTCGGGTAAACAATCTTCCACTATGGTCAGCAATGCAGTTCCTTTCACAGAAGTAACAGACTTTTGGGCCAATAATTAAATAATAATCTATAATTTAGATCTCGTAATGGAATACATTTAATAAATACAATACATTAATTATTTGCTGAAACAAATAGGTGTATAAAAATCACTTGCTTAAACACTTCCTATTTATTTTCGCAACTTCGTAATTACCTGCACACAATGTCCAATTCCTCTCTAGTCACTGCTAGAGCTAGTTCTTCTGTTTGCGCGACCGCATTTAGTGCTCTAAGACACTCTTCAAATTCCTGAGCAGTGCATCTGTATTCCTTCTCGCCAAAGGTACCTGAAATTATTCATAGATATATATCAGTGATGAGCATCAATTCCAATACAATTATTAATCACAACACACAAGCCTTTTTCATAAAAGCAATTTTTTGGCTGGTGTTTCTGGCATTTTGCCTTTTATAGAATTCACAGAAATACTAACACTTCTTTAGAAAATCTGATTAAATTACTTTTGACTTAATTTAGATTGTTTCAAAGTCACAAAAAGCTGAATTTTATAATAAAGTCGTAAAAGAGAAGTAATATAGGAGCCCATATGTTAGAATGATAGTCGCACAAAACTGACTTCATATGAACAATACGTAAAAAGTAAAGAATGCTAGAAAACTGCTACAGAGGATGTTCAAGCATTTTTAGACGATTTTCATTGTAATTACAGAAATATTTTACCAAAATTTTTTATTTTTTAAATATTCTGCTTGATAATCGTTATTCTTCATTATATTTATACATCGTAATTTCTAAGACGATAAATTTTTTTGTAATATCGGAAGAGGTATTTTATCTCATTGCTCTCGAACAGCTTTCCAAAGTCTAAAGAAGTTTAGGTAGACGTTAGGAGAATCCGCTTTTTTCGAAGTTCAAAAACGCAAAAATACATTGGTGAAAGTTCAGGAAATTTAGCAGGAATATGGGTAAAAGGTATAGCCTTGATTCCCGTTTCTTGTTCCCTTTTTTCCAAGAAATTAAGAGTAGATTTTGACGTGCGAATGCTTGCTTTTGTCTTGATGCGATTCTACTGATTGATCGCTCTGTGTGTTAAGAAAAAGTATTTCATATTTGAAACTTGGGTACAAAATATATTTTTGATAATATATGGAGTGGATTTAACATTTTTATCGAGCAAGAAAGCGAATGTCGATCATATTTATACCCTACAGGCGACCAGTAGAAGAGCTGATAGTGCCATCTGTCGGCAGAAATAGTAACGAAAAATGAAGGAAGCTAACTCAACCCTTCATTTTTCGTCACTATTTCTGCCGACAGTTGGCGCTATCGGCTCTTCCATTGGTCGCCTGTAGGGTATAAATATGATCGACATTCGCTTTCTCGCTTTTGCAGAATTTTTTGCTCCTGATGAAGGGATACTCGTTTTACTCTCAAAATCGATTGTGATTTTACAAAATCTAGGCCGAATAAAAGGTTTTCGATTTGCCTGTTTTATTCAAATTTAGTAATGCAGGCCTATTAGCTGTCAATTAGGCTAGCGAGAGGACAGTGGAAGCAGAGACCACGCCTAGTTCTGAGACGAGCATTGCTAGGAAAAGACAGGATGCTGGTACAAGAATGAAGACAAACCGGCCGAGGATTGAAAAATATCCTAAGGGGGAAGACTTCAGAGGAAAGTAGAACGAAAGTTGCAGGACAAAACAGCAGAGGTCTATAGCCCAGGACAACCCAAGGAGCAAGAATCTGAGACATACCGCAATCAGCGTTACCAATAGTGCAGGAAACTTCTAAGGCGTCTGGGAGACGAACGAGTTTGGCAGCAATCCAAGAAATTCCGAGAATAACTACTCCAGAAAAAGGACGTCAGCCAGGCAAAAATCAGTCAATAGCCCCAGCTCTTGTAGAGGAGAGAAGCCCAGATAACTAGAGGCCATGGTAAATCATCGTAGATCCAAGAGACTAAGAGATTTAAGAGAGAACTAAGAAGGAAAGGATCTATAGACTAGAATTCAGGTAAAATCGAGTAAATGCAATAAAAACTTAATGAATTGCAATTCGATTGAAACTTTCCGCGCGTACATATGTTAAGAATTTAATATTGTTCTAAAGGAAATTACATTATTGCTATTGCAGTAAACGTAAGACTATTGTAAGGGAAAAGATTTCAGAAAATTAGTGGTAGGCTGTTCTAGTAACACAAGGTTTGATAAACGAAGTTAAAATGTAGGTATTATCTTAATGCTTGAAGTAGGATGTTGCTAAGGCCTGGCGTGTCTAGCGAACTAACCACGTAAGACTTGAAAATGTGGAAGGTAGTTGATCTAACATCAAGACACATGCGTGTTCACTCAGTGTACGGCTGAAGAGCAAATAAGATTTAAGATACAATCAAGCTCCAAGCACATTGTTAAAGTAAATTCCTGTGTCATGGCTTTACGTACTAATCAGGGGATCAAACGTGTTACCTGAATACTAAACTATTTTTCCTTTCATAAGTCTGGAAGGAACTGAGAATGACTTAGCCCATTGTAAATAACAAAATTTTTCTCAATATTATGTAAACATCTTGGCTTAATCTTTGTTTTATAATTATAAATTCTCTACAAGCGTCATAAACTCATTTGTTTACGAATTATTTTAATTTTCATGAAGGCGACTGCAAGGTGTCATGCTAATTAACACACTACCTTATTATTTAATCTGAACTGTCACTTCTGCTTTTTTCGCCTCCCATTGGGGTCCACATTAATTAACGATTATATGAGAGCAGAGTTCTTACAATTAATGTGTGAACTTTCCGCAACTATGCTGACCTTTGTCTCTTACAGCTCGTAGAACTACTTAAATCTGCTTTAACATTTTGCTAGCCGTGTTGCTCACGTATAAAAAAATCTGAGCCTAACAGGAATTTGCCTTGTGAATTTTAAGCCTTTAAACTCTTGATCTGATATTTTCTGCTAGCTTAACTTTACGTTAGCCAGAATTTTGTTTAGTCTTGGGCTTTCTTAAATAGATACATAGATAATTATATTTTAATGCTTTTGTTTAAATTGAGCTTTTTTAAGCATACTGCTGAAGAAATTGCAGCTGTACTGAAATAAACCAATGCATTCAATTTATTTCAAATACTTTACGTATAAGACGCAATATTATAAAAACACATGTAATAATTTAAATCTTTAACGACGCATTATATTCAAAAACGTAAAATACCTTATATATCATGCAAATTAAAATTAAACTGGAGAACATTATCAGTAGTGTTGGAAAGCTGTTCAGTTTCAGATATACCAAATAAAAGGACAACTGCAAAATATCTAAAGTAAATTAAGTGAAATGTTCACTATACTGTAACTAACATAATTAATCTAAAGTCATGAAATTCTTTGAATTTCTTTAATGATTAAACGGTGTATAGTACATAACAAAGTCATTCGTTCATCATTAGGTATTTTTCAGAAGCACCTTACAGTACTTCCGTTTTGTATTCCTTCAAACGTAAAATATCTTGTATATCATACGGTTTAAAATTAAACTCGAGAACATTATCAGTGCTTGTAAAGCTGTTAAATTTCAGAGATGCCAAATAAAGGGAGAACTGTAAAATCTCAAAAGTAAATTAAGTGAAATGTTCAACTATACTGTAACTAACATAAGGAATTTAAAGTCACGAAATTCTTATGAATTTTTTTCATTAATGATTAAATGGTGTATAAGTAGATCACAAAGTCATATTTTTCGTTAGGTCTTTTTCAGAATCACCTTACACTATTTCCGTTTTGTATTCCTTCAAACAAAGTTCTAATCTATTGTTCTAATGGGAATCCTGCTGTGATTCTAAACAAAGAAATAAAACAGTAGAACAAACAAGAAGTTGGATGACAAAAAGTAACTATTTCAAGGAAGGCATAGCCTGTAAAAAGATTCTAGGAAAAGAAAAGCAAAAAATATGGTCGTTTCAGACAGCAAGAAAAGGTTTGAAAGCAAAACAATAAGGAAGAACAAGTTTACGCATTGGAATAAAATCAATAAGGCTCAAGAGCCCGATTGACTACTATACTATTATTGCAGTGTTAAAAGAGATACAAATTGTATTTCAGTTGGTTACTTGGATACGAGCCAAAAGAAATCAGGCTTTGTGTAGTACGTATAGTTTTATTTTAATAAGAATAACACGCAAATTCCTTGGTATAAAAAATTCGCAAACTAATATATAATCGGATAAATAAAGGTTTTATGACTTACGAAAACAAAAAGCAATAAATTTTAAAATTGTCATAGTTTGTCAAGTAAACGAAACCATTTAGTATATTATGCAATGTCTCTTTCTAAAACCACTTTTATTTAGCAATGCTTTCATTTTGATTTTTAATATTGTTAGTTAAACTTATTTTCACTTTCAATATATGGATATATGGAGTTGAATATATGGATCGAAATCCTACTGTTTGCCCTGGTCATTTACTAAGGCTACGAGGCGAACAATATGTAACTTCTTTTTAGGTCTGAATATTTGAATGATGTACGTATGATTTAAAGATGTTTCTCACGATACAAATAATTAATTGCAACTTTCATCGCTTAAACATTAAAATGAAATAAATTTGGGAACTGGGAAATCTATTATATTAAAATCAGTTTCTATATGCATATAATTCAAAACTTGATCAGATTTTATCTTTTATAATGCTTTCATATGTTTTACTAATTAAACTACAAATGGTAAAGCAGTCGAGGATTATCAATGATTTCAAATTATATATAACGAGATAAAAAGCAAATGTAATCATTATAGTTCTTTATTAGATAAGTTAGAATAAAGACATAATTGCATATAGAAGTTATACTTTACTTAAAGCTCGTTGTTATGCAAAACATGGAATTGGCGAGAAGTCATAGGCTAGCCTACATGTGGTTTTTATTTATATGTTTTGGTTTCTTTGCAAGTGCATCTGGATTATCCCTGAGAGTCAATGTACTTTCTTTGCTTCCTTGTCTGAAAGTAAATCTTCCTGAAGTTTATTCTGACTACTGAAGAGCCCACTGATTTTTTTTCTAGTGATATTTCAGGGTTTAACTCTAACAGCTTAAGAACATTTTACTGACTACTTCTTTCGGCATTTAAAAGCCAAAAACTAGGACTACTGCTTTTAAAAGATGTCAACAAATTACATTCAGACTTCTTTTTTTTTATGAAATGCCTATCAAAACACGAAACTGTATCTTAAGTATGAAACATAAATTGGGATTGATAGCAATTTGACGTTAATTTAACAACACAATTTAGCTGTTTGGACACTTAGGAGAACAAACCGATGGAAATTC